AAGTGTGGTCGAAGACATGAAGGCAAGTGCCTAGTTAGCATAGGTAATTGCTATGGTTGTCGTAAGAGCGGCCACATGAGGAGTGACTGACCTATGCTAAAGGCTCAAGGAAGGGAAAATGCTCAAGCACAAGCAAGTGGCCCAAATCCCGATGCTCCTAAGAAGAATAACTTATATGCTCTCCAATCCCGAGGTGATCAAGAGAGCTCTCTGGATGTTGTGACCGGTATGTTACAAGTATTTTCAATAAATATTTATGCATTATTGGATCTTGGTGCCACTTTGTCTTTTGTAACCCCTTTAGTGGCTATGAAGTTTAATATACTTTCCGATGTCTTAGATAAACTCTTTTCGGTTTCTACCCCGGTTGGTGATTCCATTGTTGCTAAAAGAGTTTATAGGGGTTGTCCCATATCATTGCCCAATAGAGTCACTTTGGTTGATTTTGTGGAACTTGATATGTTAGACTTTGATGTTATATTGGGGATGGATTGGTTTCATGCTTGTTTTGCGTCCATAGATTGTAGGACCCGAAATGTGAAGTTTCAATTTGCTAATGAACCCATTGTAGAATGGAACGGAGGAAATTTCGTCCCTAGGGGAAAGATCATTTCATGTCTAAAAGCTTGTAAGTTGATTTCTAAGGGTTGTCTCTATCATATTGTGAGGGTCAAGGATCCTGAGTCCGAGATTCCTCCTTTGGAGTCGATCCCCGTAGTGAAAACTTTTTTGTAAGTCTTTCCCAATGACTTACCCGGGATTCCTCCCGAATGGGAAATAGATTTCGGCACAGATTTATTGCCGGATATACAACCCATTTCAATCCCTCCTTACCGGATGGCCCCGACGGAGTTGAAGGAATTAAAAGCTCAACTCAAATATTTGTTGGGTAAGGGTTTCATCCAACCTAGTATATCTCCTTGGCGTGCACCGGTGTTATTTGTGAAGAAGAAGGATGGATCTCTTCGTATGGGTATTGATTACCGACAATTATATAAGGTGACCATTAAGAACAAGTATCCACTCCCTAGGATTGATGACTTATTTGATCAACTTCAAGGAGTGAGTTACTTTTCAAAAATTGATTTGAGGTCGGGTTATCACCAACTTAGGGTGAGAGGTGTTGATGTTCCAAAAATAGCCTTCCGAACAAGATATGGTCATTTTGAGTTCTTAATGATGTCTTTTGGTCTTAAAAATGCCCCGGCGGCTTTCATGGACCTTATGAATTGTGTGTTTAGAAATTTTCTAGACTCATTTGTTATTGTATTTATTGATGACATCTTGATATACTCTAAAAGTTAGGATGATCACATGAATCATTTGAGGATAGTATTGAAAGTCCTCAAAGATCACAAACTCTATGCTAAGTTTAGCAAGTGTGAGTTTTGGCTAAGATCGGTTGCTTTCCTTGGCCACATTGTTTCTAGTGAGGTATAGAAGTTGATCCAAAGAAAACCGATGTGGTCAAAAGTTGGCCTAGACCTTTGAGTCCTTCCGACATCCGAAGCTTTTTGGGTTTGGCCCGTTACTGCCAGAGGTTTGTTGAGGGATTTTCATCTATTGCATCTCCATTAACGGCCTTAACTCAAAAGAGGTCCAAGTTCGAATGGTCGGAATCTTGTGAAAAGAGCTTCCAATTGTTGAAGGATAAGCTCACCTCCGCTCCGGTTTTGACCTTATCGGAGGGCACCGAAGGGTTTGTAGTATATTGTGATGCTTTCCGAGTGGGTTTGGGTTGTTTCCTCATGAAGAATGGTAAGGTTATAGCATATGACTCGAGACAACTCAAGGTGCATTAGAAGAATTATCTAACTCGTGACCTTGAGCTAGCGGCCGTAGTCTTTCCTTTAAAGATTTGGAGACACTATCTCTATGAGGTACATGTGGAAGTGTTTACCGACCACAAGAGTCTTCAATATGTTTTTAGCCAAAAAGAATTGAATCTCCGACAAAGGAGGTGGTTGGAACTCTTAAAAGACTATGATATGAGTGTCCTTTACCATCCCGGAAAGGCAAATGTGGTTGCGGATGCTTTGAGTCATGTATCTATGGGTAGTGTGTCAAATGTGGAAGAAGAGAGAAGGGAGTTAGCTCGTGATGTACATAGGCTAGCCCGGTTAGGTGTCCATCTTGTATGTGTCCAAGATTGGCTTAGATAAGAAACTAAGCCTATTTGTGCTGAAGAAAGTTTGGAGTTTCTTGAAAAAATTGAACTTGCTAAGACTCTTTATTTTTTATTTATTTTTGGAAAAAAATAAATACTTATTGTGTTGTATGACATGTTTGATTTTCTTATTTATAGAGATGACAAATAGTGGAAGCAACTCTTCCATTGTTTATCTATGATTGGCTTGCAAGTCTCTAGTATTTAATAGTGGTCAGTTCAATACGTCATTTATTTAATCATATCATTTTTTTTAATCTTAGAAGTAGTATTCTAACATTTTATTTTATTTTAAAAGGTCCAACAGTCAAGACAATGAACAAAGGTGTAAAGTACCAAGTTTTATTAGTGTTTTTGTAATTTTGTTGGCACTTGAGACTTGAAAGTGGTCTCATGGAAGAAAGTCAAGAAACTACATTGTTGCTCATTATTGTTATTTGTTATTGTTGGCACTTGAAACTTGAAAGTGGTCTCATGGAAGAGGCTACATTGTTTGTTGCTTATTATTGTTGTTTGTTGTTGTTGGCACTTGAAACTTTAAAGTGGTCTCATGGAAGAGGCTACATTGTTTGTTGCTTATTATTGTTGTTTGTTGTTGTTGCTACATTGTTTGTTGCTCATTACTATTGTTTGTTATTGTTGGCACTTGAAACTTGAAAGTGGTCTCATGGAAGAGGCTACATTGTTTGTTGCTTATTATTGTTGTTTGTTGTTGTTGGCACTTGAAACTTTAAAGTGGTCTCATGGAAGAGGCTACATTGTTTGTTGCTCATTATTGTTGTTTGTTATTGTTGGCACTTGAAACTTGAAAATGATCTCATGATGAAAGAAACTACATTGGTGCATTATTGTTACTTGTTAGATTGTTATTATGTTGTTGTGTAATGGCATGATCAATTGATCATTGTAGTTGTGAAGTGTACTGACTTTAGAGAAGAAGAGGATTTAAGGTTCCTTTGGAGGTCAAACAGCAAATCAGTCAGGTCAAACGCTTTGATTTTGTTAACTTGTGCAAATTGCCTTTGCTTAGTGAAAGGCAATTCTATTCGTTAAAATGAAACCCACGCCGTCGTGCTGTATGATTTTGTGAGACAGTTGTCACTCACCGACCGGGTTTGAAAAGGAACCAAACAATGGGTCCACTTCCCACAAGGGAAATCTGGGTGGGACAAGTAATAAATGATCAAATCACAAGTTGAAAAAACTTCCAAAGGAACCTTAAATCCTCTTCTTCTCTAAACTTTATTATAATTTATTAACAATGGCAAATTTCAATGTTAACGATAGTTTAGTATTTTGAATTATACAATAATTTAAAAAACAGGGTAAAATAAGCAAAAAGAAATAAATATAAATAAAATAAACAAAAAAATTACAAAATTTTAAAAAGCCCACTAAGCAGGCTCATAACAAAAAATCGAACTAACATAAATCGAACCGAAATAACATAAACCGAACCGAAATAATAAAAACCGAATCGAACCGAATTATTTCGATTCGGTGTTGGGTACATGTTGTACAAGAACCAAAAAAACCAAAAAAAAAATAATATCGAAACTGAATCGAAATACCGAATGTCTAGCCCTAGAAGTGTGGTCAGTAAATCATCCCACCCCACTAATACCTTATTCAAAATCTCCTACCTATTACCATTATCTTCTTTTCATTAATAATCATTTATCACAATTACGTACAAGAAATAACAATAAACTTTTGTCGAAATAAAATAATTAATTTCTGCTTTGTTAGAATATTTAATACTTAAATCATTTTTTTTTTATAAACAAATACAATATAAGTAAAGAAAAAGTCTGAAGAAATGAAGAGGATTACAGAGAGAGAGAGAGGCACTTTTGGGGTGGGGGTAACGAGATGATGTGAATGGTGGATAGAAAAACATAATTGCATGGGAGGGGAACATCGAGAGGAGGAAGATGTGCCTTCTTTATTTTTTCGTTTTTAATTAGTTTAGGTGCATAAGTTGGAAAAAATATATATTATTTGCAATTGTTTTAACACGATTTAGAGTGTGAAACACTGCCATGTCTGAATTCATGTGTCTGTAATTTTTTAACAGATTGTTAAGAATAGTGTTTTGTGATAGATAAAAATAAATAGTGATGAGATAAGTTATTCCATACACATGGTGAGATGAGTTTTACTCTCAACCAAATGACCCCTTAGTGTATTAGTAACATTACATGTTTGTATTAGTTATGTCAGATTTCTAATATATTATTTGGTTTGATATATTAAAAATAATATACATTACATAATTTTTAAAAATATTTATAAAAATATCCTTTGCAAATATTCTACCAAATAATAAGTGGATAATACAAATAACTTTTAAGAGACCGTAAAGCATAAAACATATTCCATGAATTCAATGCTCGCCTTCTTATAACCTAATCCAGGAAAAAGGTAATGAAATCATTTATTTTATTTTTTAAACAAAAAAATAATTAATTTAATATTTAAGGGATAGAATAAAACAAAATCCATCAATGATCTGACACACTGCATTTTGCAGAGAAATAGTACGTCCACTAGAATTCTCCAAACAAACCAAATCATCAAAATAAAACAGACATCTTCAATTAAATAGCACAAAAAAGAAAGCAAAATCGACGAAAATAAGGGGTAAAACAAAATTTGAAATACAATACTGCAATACAAACAACTTAATAACCAAAATTATAGATAAGATTAAAAAGCTAAGGTTACATTATCCATGCATATGCGTAAATACTTAAGATTAATAACTACTACTTAATTATATTCGAATCCCGGCAAAGTTGTCCGTACGTCTTCAAAACCCTTTTGTATATTCTCACAGCCAATTACAGCCATAACCAGAAGCATTCAAGCGTTTCTCAATCTCAAAACAAACAAAAGCATCAAAACAAGCATATTCCACTTGTTCTTCATTCAGAAATCGATAATCCCACTTGCTCCTAGTTATATGAGCAGGCTTTACCATCTCCTTTAATAAAATGACACTACACAGCTCTTTCAGCCCAGCATTTGTCCTAATCTGATACCCCAACCCAAACGCCTCATACGCAGTAGCAACCAACTCTCTTAAATCCACAGAATAGCTCACAATAAGCCCGTGATCTCGCTCCAACTTTTCCACATCAGCCACAATTCCAACCCCAACAAAGGTATAGGTGTCCAGGAAGGTAACGAGGGATTGTGGAATTGGGTTGCGACAGTGAATGAGTTGGAGTATTAGACAACTGCGACCGATGCAGAGCTAAAGAGTTGCAACTAGATTTTGTGTTTGGCCGTATTTGGGTCGCCACTCAATGTCAAGTCCAACGACGTCTGTGAAACTGACATAAGATTATACATTTGTGATCCAATGAGTGATAATTTCTGAGTCCGAAGTAACTGTTGTTAGGATACTATCACCATAGAAGTAAAAATCGTAGTTTCTTTAGCGATGGTCCTGCACTTGATGAGCTACAATGGTCTGATTCATGCCTATCAATCTGTGAAGAAGGTAAGGGTTTTGAGAAGGGGTTTCGTGGTAAAGAGGTTCTTAAATAGAAGAAAAGGGAGAGGAAATTATAAGACTAGTGTTAATTGGGCCATGGGCCATGGACCCATCCCACTACTATGCTTTAGTTAAAATATCTTTTGGAGTCCATTGATTTCAAGATAGAGACAGTTAAGAAAAAATTACTTGGCTCAATACTTTTTAATAAGGGAAAATCACTTACGGGTATACTTTTTAAAAAATATTTACTACATTTGTCAACATTATCTTTTTAACCATATATGACAATTTGGCTGAATTAAATTAAATTCACTTCATCCTTTCCATCTTTCGCTCCCAATTTTCTCTCGCCACTTCTTACTCACAATTTTCTTCACAAATACGGCTATACTACCTTCAGAGATGTGTATTCAATGATCAATTTTGAGACGAATCACTTACGTGCTCACAATTTTCCTCACAAATATGACTATACTACCTTCAGAGATGTGTATTCAGTGATCAGTTTTGAGACGAATCAAGTCGAGCAGAGAGTTGAGTTTGAAAGGTTAGAGGCTTTAAATTCGATTGCATGTCTTAGTTACTTATTTAATTCATGCTTAATTCTCTATCTCGGCTATACTAACCTTCAGCGATGTTTATTCAGAGATCAATTTCGAGATAAATCAAGTTTGGGAAAAGAGTTGAGTTTGAAGTTTTCTGAAGTTTGAAAGATTAGAAGGTTTAAATTCGATTGCATGTCATTAGTTACTTGCTTAATTCAAGCTTAATTCTCTTTCTCGACTATACTCACCTTCAGCGATATGTATTCAGTGATCAATTTCGAGATGAATCAAGTTCGGGCAGAGGGTTGAGTTTGAAGTTTTTTGAAATTTGAAAGGTTAGAAGGTTTAAATTCGATTGCATGTCATCAGTTACTTACTTAATTCAATCTTAATTCTTTTTCTCGGCTATACGTTATCAATTTCAAGATAAATAAATTTCCAGCAATGATGTGTATTGAATTACTTGCTTAATTCACAATAGATACAGGTTTAATTCACTTGTTAGTATTTGTGTAATAAAACTTTAATTCACTTTTCTGATTCAATTTTAATATAGTGTAACACACTTTTAATACAAGTTAAATTCATTTTTGAGTGTGCTAGATCTTTTGTGGAGAGGTTGTGGGAGTGTTTGATAAGATATGTTGAATTTATGAATGATGAGGTTTTGGAGAAGAGTTTTGAAGTTTATAGGTGTGTGAGTTCAAGTACTATGTTGTTGTTGGTTGATTTGTTATGATTTTATTACTTGTTTAAATTATTTTTGAATTAACTATGCTGATTGAATTACTTCCTTAATTCATAATAGATTCAAGTTTAATTCAATCTATAGAACACTATCTCGTTGTTTCCTTAGTTATTTCTTTAAATTTTTTCTTAATTCACTCTTCTAATTCAACTTTAATACAATGTAATAAACTTTTAATACAAGTTTAATTCATTTTTGCAGGTTGTTGGTTGATTTGTTATGATTTGATGACTTGTTTAAATTCATTCTTAATTCACTCTTCTGATTGATCTACTTGCTTAATTCATAATAGATTCAAGTTTAATTCAATCTATAGAACACTCTCTTGTTGTTTCCTTAGTTATTTGTTTAACTTTTTTCTTAATTCACTCTTCTAATTCAACTTTAGTACAGTGTAATACACTTTTAATACAAATTTAATTCATTTTTGTAGTTTGTTTGTTGATTTGTTATGATCAGATTACTTGTTTAAATTGTTTCTTAATTCACTCTTTAGATTGATTTACTTGCTTAATTCATAATAGATTCAAGTTTAATTCAATCTATAGAATACTCTCTCGTTGTTTCCTTAGTTATTTGTTTAAATTCTTTCTTAATTCAACTTTAATATAGTGTACTACACTTTTAATACAAGTTTAATTCATTTTTGCAGTTTGTTGGTTGAATTGTTATGATTTGATGACTTGTTTAAATTCATTCTTAATTCACTCTTCTGATTGATTTCCTTGCTTAATTCATAATAGATTCAAGTTTAATTCAATTTATAGAACACTCTCTCGTTGTTTCCTTAGGTATTTGTTTAAATTTTTTCTTAATTCACTCTTCTAATTCAACTTTAATACAATGTAATACACTTTTAATACAAGTTTAATTCATTTTTGCAGTTTGTTGGTTGATTTATTATGATTTGATTAATTGTTTAAATTCATTCTTAATTCGCTTTTATGATTGATTTACTTGCTTAATTCATAATAGATTCAAGTTTAATTCAATCAATAGAACACTCTCTAGTCGTTTTCTTAGTTATTTGTTTAAATTCTTTCTTAATTCACTCTTCTAATTGAATTTTAATACAATGTAATACAAATTTAATTCATTTTTGTTTATCACACTATTTCTTTGCCATTTTGGTGCTTGTGCTTTTACTGCAATTTGGATATCACCAGGCACTGGCAGGGGAGTTGTTGAGTCTGGCATCTCTAGTCATCTGTTCTATGTGATATGGGTTTGGCTTCTGGCACTTTAACAGTTAACTTCTTTTTGTGCTTGCTGTTGTTGGGTCTTTCAAGATCAGTGAAGTCTCCCTTTCATGGAGTAGCCTTGTTTGTCGTAGTGTTGAATTTTCTTAGTTCAGGCTTTGTATTAGTATCTAGCTCTTCGATTCAGTTTTCTTCCCTGGACAGAAAGAGTCCCTTACTTTGTTGTCAAAAGTGTTGTTACATAAATGTTTTCAACTACGATAACTCTTTCCACAAGTTCATTTTTAGCTTGTAGTCCATATGTTTATGTTTTGCAATGATCCAACTAGTGAGGACTCTTATGGGTGTGGATATCTGGTATGTACTCCTTCAGTTCTGGATCTTTTCACACCCCAATAAAAATGCTCATCTATCTTTTGTGTTCTTGGTGCTTATCTTTATGGCTTCCATTTTCTTTTTGCTTATCACACCAGTTTGAGTTTTGTGTGTTGGAAGGATGTATATACCCTACATCGTGAACTGTATTGGAGGATTAGAGTTGGAATTTTTTTAAGGTTAGTGTTCAGTATGCTGGCTGTGTAGGTGCTTCCACTGCAATCTTGATATCATTTTCGGCCTTCGAGAAAAAGGGGGCTTCGAAATAGTAATGATTTTTAAATTTTAAAGGTTAGTGTTCAGTAAGCTCTGGTCGTTTAGGTGCTTGCACTGCCATCTGGATATCTTTTTTAGTGCTTCCAGAAAAATGGCATTTCTAAATATTCTCTACGTCATTTCTCATGATTTCCCAAGCAGTTTATGTTGGCCTGCTTTGCACTTAACTGTTGCTTGTTGCTTCTTTATGTGCTTGCATTTGTGGTCTTAAAGGTTTAATTTCTTCTTTTCGTTGGGCAGCCTTTGTTTGTTGATTTATGTTGAGGTTTCAGTTGGTTCAAGTTCATGTGAGTGTCCGGTATTCAGTTCAGTTCTCTTCTCTAATCAATATGATCTTTTCTGACCCACTCTCTTCAAAGTGGTAATCTTCTAGCAGTTAGTTTAACTGAAAATTTCACTTGTCAATGGTCATTTTCATTCAATTTCTGGTTTAATTATTGGGTGCAGTATCTGCAAGCCATAATCACTACTATTTTCAGATTAATTGTTGTTAGGTAAATAAAGTTTAATTCATTTTGAAGTATGTTGGTTGATTTATTATGATTGAATTACTTGTTTAATTCATAATAGATACAAGTTTAATTCAATATATGTGTCTCTCTCTAGTCTTTTCAGTAATTACTTGTTTAATTCATGCTTAATTCACTTTTTACTAATTCAACTTTAGTGTTGTGTAATACACTTTTTAATAATGTGCAGAAAAAAAATATGACTAATCTTGTTGTGCTGCTTTACTTCAATGGACGATGGGATCCTAGCAACAAATATATTAATTACTTGGAAGATGGTGTGTTGATAAATACGGAATCAACATTTGCCACCCTCATTTCTATAATTGCTACTCAATTGTCAATAGACACATCAACAAGTAAAGTTGAAATCAAATATAAATTGATGAAAGGTCTCCTCCAATTCAAATTCATAATGATATGGGGGTAAAAGTATATGTTGAAACCAAAAAGGAACATCGAGTTATAGCAAGATACCCTTTGTGTGTCACAACAACTGAACTAGTCAACTTGAAGACTAATTCTGCACTCATTCCACTATTATGTTCAGACACTACAGAAGATATGAGGGTTATACATAATTCATACATCTCTAATACATTTAATGGTATTGGTGAAGCAATAGGGTTAATTGGCTTTGGATCATATGAGGAAGTTGATGAGCTAGAAGAATTAGCACCAGGCATCATTGTTAATCCCAATCATTCTTTATTTGAGAAAGATCAACTGTATAAGAATAAATATGTCCTCACCAGTGCACTAAAAAGACATTCCATTCTTAAGCATTTTCAATTCAAGACAACAAGATCAAGCTCAATCTGGTAAGACCTAAATTAATGTCACTTTAAATTATTGATTGTATATTAATTTTGTTTCAACAACTATTCGATATTGTGCCTAGGAGAAAACTCTTATTGGAGTTTACGAGCTTCAAGCTTGAACAAATCTCAAATGCTCAAGATTAAAGAATTCATAAGCGAACACACATGTATGTTGCCACATAATTCATTATCGGAAAGGCAAGCAACTAAGAGTGTTGTTGGGAGTATTATTGTGGGTAAATGTGTTGAACCAGATGTTATTTACACACCAAAAGATAAACAACGTGACATGTTAGCTGAATATGGTGTGCGACTCACATATATGCAAGCTTGGAGAGCTAAAGAAGTAGCTCTTGAATTAGGCCGGGGTGATCCAATTCAATCATATGCAAAGTTGTCAAGCTACTTTCACATACTAGAGGCAACTTACCCTGGTTCTCATATAAGATTTCACAAATTAGAGGATGACCGTTTTCTATATGCGTTTGTAGCTTTGTTCACCTCGATAAAAGGATGGGCATATTGCAGACCAGTTGTAGTTGTTAATGGAACTTTCTTAAAATGAGCATACAAATGGACACTACTAACCGCTAATACCTTAGATGCAGCAGGTTAGACTTTCGACTATGATACTAGTGTTTTCAATATTGAATTTCTGAACTATGTATTAAAAATGAATTATAATTGTAGTAAAAATGTATTAAAATTATATTAAACAAATTGTATATGGTGCAGGGAGTATACTGCCATTTGCTTATGCCATTGTCGATTTAGAGAATGATGTTTCTTGGAGGTGGTTTTTTGAGCAATTCAGAGACACATTTTGTCAAAGATTAGAGATGTGCATCGTTTCCGATAGGCATGCAAGCATTATTAAGGCAGCTTCGAGAGTCTATGATGAATTACTTCATTTTGCGTGTATGTGGCACTTATTGCAAAACATAATGAAAAACTTCAGAAAAAGTTAACAAAGGGTAACTGAGTTGTTCTACTCTATGGCAAAAACATACACCATGACAGAATTTAATCAATGTATGACAATAGTTGAGAAGATAGATAAGAGGATCAAAGATTACTTGCTGACCATTGGATACACCAAATGGTCGCGTGTGCATGCTGAAGTAAACAGAACTTGGATGATGACATCAAATATAGCAGAATCAGTAAATTCAAGAACAAGACATGCCAAAGTTCTTACAGTCTTGCACCTCTTGGAATTCATGAGACAGCTTGTCCAGAAATGGAATAACAATAACAGATCAAAGGCAACATTTTTAGGTTTTCACCTTGGAAAAAAGTATGAAAATATAATGTGGCATAATAAAACTGCATCAGAGAAATTAAGGGTATGCTTGATCTGTAAATTATTTTTGCTAATATTTTTTCTTCTGATTCATATCTAACATCTCTCTTGATTATATTTTTTTTCTTTTCATAGGTTGTAGAGACAAATAAATATGTGTATACGGTACTTGATGGTATTACACAATTCACAGTATGTCTACACCAACATTCATGCACATGTGGGAGATTTCAACTAGATGAGTTGCCATGTCTGCATGCTTTGGCTGTTTTAACAATAAAACACACTGGTTAAGAGAAATATTGTTCTGATTACTATACAAGAAAAAATTTATTGCTGACATATCAGTTTCAAATGGATCCCCTGCCAGATGAAAGCACATGGAACACACCAACACATGTTCTTGAAGAAGTTGTACTTCCACCTCATGGAAAAAGACCTCCGGGAAGGCCAAAAAATAAAAGACATACACAACTGAGAAAAGATGGATTCAAGAAGGCGAAAATTACATGCAACAACTGTGGACAACAAGATCACAATAGGAAGACTTGTAAAAATGTTAAGCCTTATGATCAAGAATAAGATTAAGAAATAAAATTTGTTTTAACATTTTTTTTTAGAAGCTCATTGGTTTACTATATGAATTTGGATCATGTTTGTTTATATGGTTGATTCCCTTAGTTCCGCAATCTCGTGTTATTCAGTGTAGTGGAATGCTTTCTTAGTTGTACAATCTCATGTTATTTAGTTTAGTCGAATGTTTCCATGTTTATAGTTAGATGTGATATGATATAGTTGAAATGATATTCGATAAAATGCAACTTAGTAATTGTTTAAAATTCCCATTGAATGTTTAGTTGGAACTGCATCTCTTATTTTAACTATTGATTACCTCAATGCTTAGTTTTCTTATTGATGTTGAATCTCTGTTGAAACACCCAAATACGAATTGGTACAATCTACACCTAATTACGAGATTCGCAAATACCCAAATACGAAAAAAAGAAACATTTTTCGTGCAAGCAAGTACCATCGCATGCCAGCACACATTTGCTCAATAAAAGCTAAGCAATCAGAAAGTTAAGAAAAAGTAGAGTACATCTCATTACTATGTCCAACAAAAATGACAATAAAAGCTACAATGAACTATATTACACTAACATCCATTCACCTTATAATAAACCAATTTCTATGCTCACATAATCTTATATGCTAACCAAATCCCCCACTTCCAGAGGATTGCTTTGCCATTGGGAACATCCTCAACCAGCCTTTGGCTTGTGCTTTCCAATTCAGCCTTCTAAGGGTTTGGGGAATATACCAGTATGGGAGAGAAAATGAGGGAGGATTCATCGATAAAGACCACAAACAAAAGTCAAAAGCTAGATCAAAAGGGTGTGAACATGAAATCTATATCATATATCTCAAGTCACATACGATCTGCAAATACCCGAATACGAATTGATAAAATCTGCACCTGATTACGAGATCCGCAAATACCCAGCAGCTATTATAGCTCAAGTCACATACTATCCCACCCAGTTCAAAGGCAACAAAGACGGAGGATTCGTGCTATTAGCTAATTACATTGGCGCATTGGGTAATCCCCAAAACTCCAAACCTGAAACAATCGCCATGACAACCCCAATAAGGACACGAAGAAAGAACAACCTCAAACATAGGACTTACATAAAAAAAATACAGTTGGGTATATAATACCGAGACTTAAAATAGACCAATATAGTTTTTCATAGCCTTACTAACTACAAACTGTTTTTACACCATATAGTTTTCATAGTCATACTAACTAATATAACTATATTTCTTTATCTATCCAGTTTTTCGTCTTCACTTTGAAGGTCACTCACTTGCTTCCTTCTTGCATATTCCCATAATATAGCTCCAAATCTCTTTCGGAGAATGTCTGCCTTTACATGTTGATTTAGAATATGTTGGCCATTACTTACAATCTCCGCAAATGCAGCAGCGAAAACTCCCCAGTCCCTAAAATATTCAATATAAAATTATTATCAAAATATCTACTTAATACAAAAAAGAATACCTATTTCATAATACTTACATCGAGTCATATCGTTGTTTGGGAACACCTTTAGTTATGAGATGAAATCCAATTTTCTCGAACTCATCTATCCCACTGTATTTCGGTGTTGCCTTCAATTCAGAACGCTTATCATAGAACTTGACCACACTAAAGTAATATGGTAAAACAATTGAAAGCATCTCAACAATATTTTTAACCTCAAAATTCACCCCATTCCTAGCCGGAAATGAATCATATACCTCCAAAGACCTTTGCCCAATATCAAACATGACAAAAATCCAATGGGAACCCACTTGAATGTTTAGTGGAAAAAGAATATAATCCCCTTTATCCCACGAGGTACTTTCCAACAAACGACGTCCATATATATACCTGGCAATATCATTAGAATCTTTTACTTTATAGTTCTTCTTCCTAGCCGGAAATGAATCATATACCTCCAAAGACCTTTGCCCCAATATCAAACATGACAAAAATCCAATGGGAACCCACTTGAATGTTTAGTGGAAAAAGAATATAATCCCCTTTATCCCACGAGGTACTTTCCAACAAACGACGTCCATATATATACCTGGCAATATCATTAGAATCTTTTACTTTATAGTTCTTCTTATTCTCATGAGCATCACAAAGTTGAAAGAAAGAAGTAGTAATCACTTTCTTGAACACAAAATCAGTAGTAGTAAATTGAACCTTATTGTTGGCTTCATATTTTCCTTTCTTTCTTAGATAATAGAAAATGACATCAATATGCTACAAAAAATTAGAATTGAAATGTAAAAAAGAAAGTCTCAAGAAACAAACATTCGATTAACCTCAAGAAACTCAGTAGGTGATATTGCAACACACAAGATTCACAAAAGTCTCACTACCATTCAAGTATTTTGGAGTTACCTTAGTCTCCAAGAAGTTGTCAGTTAGTCAGTGTCAACCACTTATAGATAAAATGTTGGGAAAGATAAACAAGTGGACAGTAAGACGTTATCTTACGCAAGGAGACTACAATTGGTGTAATGTGTTCTAACCTCTATCCAAGCATTTTGGTCATAAATATTTCTCTTAATTACCTAAAGAAGTGTTGAAAAACAAGGACAGGTCGGAACAATGGGGAATTCATAGTGATTCAATTTTCTCACTATGTAATACAGAATCTGAAACACATTAGCACCTATTCAGTCTAATGTGATTTGGCATAAATTATTGATAGCTATCCATCAACAGGAGCAGCTAGCACAGAATGAACTGAAGAGTTGGAGTGGGCTACAATGCATGCTACAAGTAAAGCAATAGAAACTTAAGTGTATAAACAGGAGCAGTAGCAATAATGTACTTCATATGGCAAGAGAGAAATTACAAATTTTTTCAACCCAAGGAAAGGAACACAAAGGTGCTCACTAGACAAATCATTCAGGAAATTCAACAACAGAGGTAGTATGACACCTAGAATGGCAAGTGTTATGAATAACAAATATTGACGTCCAACTAAACTTTATACAACTAACG